TCAGCTGATCAGAGGTCTGACATCAGGCATCAGTGGCCATGGGGCTAATCAGCAAAAAACGTTCAGGTTAAGAACTGAAATGGTAATTTTTTTTAAAAAAATCTCAAAATGAAAGTGAACAAAACTAGTACCATAACTGCAAAAACTTTAGAGGGCCTGTATCAATTATTCTCAGTTTAGTTGCTGGCTATATACTACTGTAAATTAACTTGTCCAAGAAAGAAAGAAAGAAAGAAAGAAAGAAAGAAAGAAAGAAAGAAAGAAAGAAAGAAAGAAAGAGAATCACAGTATTTGCAGATCCACTGTGCACTAAGGGGTGGGGGGTACTCACAGCGTGCGCCTGTGCACTTGCGCGCATGCACAAAGGGGCTGTGCGGATCGCGTGCGGAGGGAGGGCATGCAGGCAGGACGAAAGATCTGTCTCCGCTAATCGGCCCTGTGTAGTGGAGAGAAGATGGCTAGGATTTTAGAGACCAGGGTTCAAATCCCTGCTCGGCCATAGAAACTCACTGGGAGACTGGAACTGTTAAAGCCACACCTTAATATCTTACTTACCTTGAAAGTTCTGTTAGGGTTGCTATAAATCAGTATTTGTTTACTTACTCTTTTTAGGTTTAAACATTGTCTTTTAATTATGTAAGCCACCTGGGGTCCTTTTTAAGGAGAAAGGCAGGGTAAAATATTTTAAAGAAAAATAATAAATAGATAATATATTCTGATCAACTGGATTTAATGTGCTATATATGTTCTGGATTGGAAATACTGTATTAGAATTCTGAAATGCTTAGAAAACACAGCAAAGCTCCTGGATACTAATAGAAGATTTTGTTTTAATACGTTTCGTTCTTCAATCAAATTGATGGACTAAGAATCATTCCTGAAATTCGGCGAGATTAATTTCTTTTTAATTCCATTTCAGTTCATGGCCGTTATCACATCTCATGGCACCAATTTAACATCACATTTTGTTTAATTGTGTGCTGTGTGAAGATGTAGTTTGTCTGTTCTAAAAACTCTTGCCATTGAGTTTCATCAGCAGCAATTTTAGTAAGGGAGAGAAAAAAAAATCCCTATCAATTTTCTGCAAGATCTGGCAACTGGAAGGCGACTTGAAAGACGTTAGCTGTAACTAGTCTCAAGGCATCCTCTATTATTATTTAAACCAGTAATATTTAATTAATTGGTACAGCTAATAACTGGACAGAATGAAAGACTAGACTAAGATGACTGGGGTTCAAATCCCTACTCAGTCATGTAAACTCATTGAGGAGTGGCCATGTTTAAATCACTTGTATTCTCAAAGGCTTTCACGGCCAGATCTGATGGCTGTTTTGGGTTTTCCAGGCTGTCCTCTGACTCCAGTCTTCTGAAGATGCCGCCCACAGAGACTGGCGAAACGTTAGGAAGAAAAACCTTAAGAACACAGCCAAACAGCACAGAAAACCCACAACAGCTATTTAAATCAGTTCTTAAATATCTCACCTATCATGAAAACCCTTTTAGGTGACTATAGGTCTGATGCAACTTGGCACAAAATTATTATTAATGTGCTCCTCCAACTGGCTTTTTAAAATAAAGCTACATAACAATATTCATCCATTTCGGGAGTAATCTGTGTCTCTTGAGGTAAGAACTACCAGGAGTCTTGTGGCAGCCTAAAGTTAATTCCAATTTATGGTGGCCCTTTCCAAATTTTTCTAGGTAAAGGATATTCAAAAGTTCTTTACTGTTCCATTCTTCTGGGGTGCCCTGAGACTCTGCAGCATTCCCAAGGCTATACAATAGGACCCTGATAGCTGCTAGGGATTGGTTCTAAGCCCCTGTGGATAGTGAAAACCGTGAATACTATATATGTAGCATGGAAAGGGGACGGGGAGTAAAAAAGCAGGGGAAAAATTCCATGCACTACCAAAACTATCCACTAGAGGGTAGAGGAAACGCTATGAATTCTTCACTAACAAGTATTCATAGCATGGTCTCTGGCTCCCTCTAGTCGCTGGTGCTGGTAATACATGTGAAAAGTTTTTTTCTGGATTTTCTTTTAATATTTTTAATATTTTCAGACTGTAGATAAGTGAGTCAGTAAATACTGATCCCATGGATAAGGGGGTCCTACTGTATAGGCTTCTACTTCTCTCTGAAGGCACATTAAGTAATTAAACTCAGGACCAATGGCTCCATAGTCCAACTCATTGACCAGCCAGCATTAGAGTCATATAAATTCATACATGGTGTGTAGTGGAGTCTTGAAGTTGCTAGCAATAAATAATTAATCACTTGAAATCAATTTCTTTTTGTAATAACCAGTGACAACTAGATTATGTTGTGACTAACAGATAATTTCACCCTCAAAGTGTAACAACACATTTCTGACCCTCTTCGATTCCTGCACTGTAACCAAGTTATCTTGCAAGCAAGCTTGCTGGCCACCTGTCAAGTTCCTCTGCTTCCTTGACTCAAGGAAATTGTAGTGTGACAAACACCAAGGCAGTAGTAAAGAAACACTATGTATTTGTCTTTGCACAAGTTTTTGCCTAATAGGATTGTGGTCTTATAGTTATTGGATTATGGCCTCACTAAATAATAGAGGAAGAGGAGCACACAGTCCAAGTAGAGATGATTTGTGGACAGGGTAGAGCATGCCACATCCCCATATTTTGGGAGGGGTGATCTCCCGCTCTGATCACAAGCTGCCAATGGGTTTGAGTGCTGTCTGGTGGTTAGTTTTGTGCTCAATTGTGGAACAATGAAGTCGTTGGGAAGACAGCGTATGTTGTATTTATACCCTAGGTCAGAAACATGTAGTGATCAGCTGGTTTTGAAACGTCACTATAGTTACTTTTGAAACAAATACTAACAAGTTACCAACTATGACCTTAGTTATACTGCTGTACATCAGCCAGTACTTAAGTAATGTGATATTTATTCACCATTTAACAAGGCCACTTGACTGTAAGTAACTTTTAAAAGGTGGTGTTCTAATATGGTAAATAACCTTTGAATACTCTATACCTAGAAAAACCTGGAAAGGCTCTCCATAAATTGGAATCAACTTGATGGCACGAAATGATTATTAATGTGCCCCTCCAATCCTCCTTTTTAATATAAAGCTTAAAAACCATAATAATATTCATCCATTCCCCGCGCAAGGTGTGTCTGTTGAGGCAAGACCAACCGGGAACCTTGCGGGAGCTTAAAGGCTAACGATTTTTATTTGCCACAAGCTTTCATGGGGCTGCATGCCACTTCATCAGGCTGTATGCCATGAGAGTTTGTGGGAAATAGAACATGCCACTCACACTCTCTGTTGCCCTACTCAATTTGGCCAGTGATGGACATGTGCTTTCCTATAAATTTTTACATCCGGTGCTGCACCCACAACAACAAAGCAAGGCAAGCTTAAGACCCCATTGCCTCTGAATGAGGCTGGTGCAAAAGTCCTTTTGGGACGGCGGACTTTCCTTCCTATCTCCCAGTGCTTCTTTGTCGAATAAGGGAAACAACAACAGCAGAAGGGCACGCGCCTCCTTCTTGTGAGGAAAATTTAGGACTGTAGCAGTGGTGGTGCTGGAGGAGGATTGGAAGGCTTGGCGTGCGTATTGCGCGACAGGGATACAGTCCAAATGCAGAGCCCCCACGCCATCCGCTGGAGGATGAGGAAAAGCAGCGAGGGCCAGCCATACTACCTACCCTGTTTCCCTGAAAATAAGACCAGGTCTTATATTAATTTTTGCTCCAAAAATGCTTATTTTCAAGGGATGTTTTATTTGTCCATGTACAACAATCTACATTTATTCAAATATAGTCATGTCATCTTCTTCTGGAACATCGTCCTAACTCTCGAAACCCGAATTCTGGCCTGAATTTCTTGTGACTCCCTCCAGGGAAGGGGGAGTGGTGGCAGCGGCAGAGATGTTGGTATTAAGGGCCCCAACATGAACCGGCCTCAAACCCCTTCTGCCACAGGACTGGACGATTTCTGTCTCGGTCTTTCCCAGGGAGTCTTCTCTTCTCATGAGATGGCCAACGTATTGGAGCCTCAGCTTCAAGATCTGTCCTTCCAGTGAGCACTTAGGGTTGGTTTCCTTCAGAATGGATAGGTTTGTTCTCCTTGCAGTCCAGGGGACTTTCAAGAGCCTCCTCCAACACCACAATTCAAAAGCATCCATTCTTCGGCGGTCAGCTTTCTTTATGGTCCAGCTACAACCATCTACATTTACTCAGATACTGTACAGTCCATGTCATCTTCTTCTGGTTGCTGCACCAGGGGGGAGGGCGGGGTTTTCACTTCACTAGGGCTTATTTTTTAGGGTAGGGCTGATATTACGAGCATGCTGAAAAATCCTACAGAGCGCTTATTTTCAGCTTCAGTCTTTATTTTCTGGGGAAAACAGGGTCTATTTTGTTTTCCACGCGGAAAGGCAGCGGCTGCTGCGGGAGTCCGGCCTCCTCCTCCTCCTCCTCCTCCTCGATCCGCCCCTTTTTGCTCCCTGACCCGGGCGCTCAGCCGTACCGAGGAGGAGTCAACATGGAAGGCGAGGCGCCTTCGCTGCTGCTGCCGGAGAAGGGCTGCCGCTGCCGGGCTGGACGGCGCCCCCGCCGCTGCCTCCTCTTGCTCTCCGCCCTTTCAAGAGCCTCCTCCAACACCACAATTCAAAAGCATCCATTCTTCGGCGGTCAGCTTTCTTTATGGTCCAGCTACAACCATCTACATTTACTCAGATACTGTACAGTCCATGTCATCTTCTTCTGGTTGCTGCACCAGGGGGGAGGGCGGGGTTTTCACTTCACTAGGGCTTATTTTTTAGGGTAGGGCTGATATTACGAGCATGCTGAAAAATCCTACAGAGCGCTTATTTTCAGCTTCAGTCTTTATTTTCTGGGGAAAACAGGGTCTATTTTGTTTTCCACGCGGAAAGGCAGCGGCTGCTGCGGGAGTCCGGCCTCCTCCTCCTCCTCCTCCTCCTCCTCGATCCGCCCCTTTTTGCTCCCTGACCCGGGCGCTCAGCCGTACCGAGGAGGAGTCAACATGGAAGGCGAGGCGCCTTCGCTGCTGCTGCCGGAGAAGGGCTGCCGCTGCCGGGCTGGACGGCGCCGCCGCCGCTGCCTCCTCTTGCTCTTCGCCAGATAGGCGGAACCCTCTCGCCCGCCCGCCGGCCTTCCTGCCAGTGACCGGGGGGCGAAAGTTTTAGGCCTGGGTGCAGCAGCAGCAGGTGCGCGGTGGCGCCGGCGATGGCGGCCCTCTGGAAGCGAAGGCGACTCGGGAGGCGCCCTCCTCCTTCCTCCGCCGCCTTTTGAGCCTCGGCCGCCCCGCTGGTTCTCCCCGCCAGGCTTCCCGTGTAGGAGGAAGGCGTCTGGAAGCGCGCTCGGGGGGCAGAGAGGCTGGGCACCGCTTCCTGGGCGGACTGCGATTCTCCAGAGTCTGGAGACGAAGGGGTACCTGGTCGGTGCCGGTTTTCTTTTTATTTCCCCCCCCTCTCCCCTTGGAGCCAACTAGGAGGAGACTTCGGCACGTGTGAAGCGGTGACGCCTTTTTTTTTAAAATTGGGATTTTAAACTCGTTCTTGTCACTTGACCCCAGCGGCGTGGATTGGAGATCATAGCATCCTTAACACGGGTTACTCCATGTCATTGTATGCCTATCTACGTGTTTAAAGATGTACACGTTTGTGGTGCGGGATGAAAACAGCAGCGTTTATGCCGAAGTCTCCAAAATCCTCCTTTCCACTGGACAATGGAAGAGGCTGAAAAAGGACAACCCCAGGTTTAACCTCATGTTGGGGGAAAGGAACAGGCTGCCTTTTGGGAGACTGGGTAAGCGAGCCGACACGTGTCTGTTTAACCTCATGTTGGGGGAAAGGAACAGGCTGCCTTTTGGGAGACTGGGTAAGCGAGCCGACACGTGTCTGTCAGAGCGAGAACAAACGGGTTCGGCGGCGCCCACTCGGTAACCTTGGAGCAGCGCTTGGTTGTGGGAAAGGCGGGCGAGCTCACGCCCCCCCCCCGGGTGGTGTCTTCGCATGCAGACAACCCAGAGTTCCTGTTTCCAAGATCTGCCGAGAAATCTGTGCGGTTGCTGCAGCTTGGAGGGTTGGAGAGCTGGTGCAGAGCCTGTCAAATTGATACCAGACTGATGCTGCAGATCTTAAATTTGGGTGTTGTCCGCTGCAACCCGAAGGGAATTTGGCTGTTAGGAACTGAGCCGGAGGGTGTGATTCTCCGAGGAGCAGGGAAAGTACCTGAAGTACATTATATTCGTAATGGCACAGCTTGAAATCTGTTAAAACTAGCATTCTTTTAACCCCCCCCCCCAGTTCTTTTAAAACAATTTTTAAAATACCTAGATATTATGCAGTTGCAGTGCTACCTAATTGTGGAATAGGGCATTTTCTCTGAACTATAATGATGTATCATGTTTATTATAATACAAATCCTTCAAACTTATAAATATTTGCAGATGTGGATTTTGGGGGAAAAATGTTTTCAAAGGAGGCAAGGAAGAACAAAGAACTGAACAAAGTTAACACAGGAGCCGGCTACTTATTTTACATCTGCTAATTTTGGTATTGAATGTCATTTTTCTTTTCTTTTTTTAAAAAAAAAATAAATATGGCAAAAAGTTACCATGTTGGCTTCAACTAAGTGCCCGATGGCAGGTGGTTAAATTCTTTTTGCCATAAATATCTTGGGCTGCTTGGCCCCTGAAGTTTTCAGCAGCAACATTCTGCATTGATGATGTCAGGCGCCCAGCCCCTCCGATCAGTACCTCCTGCTGCTCTGACTTGCACACAGCTGCATGTTTAGTACTGTATGAATGGAGTTTTCCGCTTTTCTCTAATGTTTGGTTTTTCAAGAGGCCAAATATGTGTATTTTTTTTTCAAATGACTTATAAGTAAGGTAGATACCAAGCAATGGATGTAGAACTTTTCAATGTCCACAGTTTTGGTTGCAGAATACTACCAACATGCTTTGTTGAAAGTGGGTACACCTAAACCCCTAGATTTCAATGGGTTGATGCATGCTTAACAGTGCAGAAAGGTAACCCCTTTGATTTCATAAAGCTGGGAGCAAGCACCATACATGAGCCTCAGTGTTTCGATGGATGAGGATAGCATTTGTGCGCAAACTTCAGGCTGTATGTGGCAGGCCAACAGATCCCAGAGTTGATCAGGTGCTGGCAGAGCAGTGGAGAACAGGTGGTTGTTTCCACACTGTTATTAGCACTGGGGAAGCATTTAGTCTTGGTCAGAACTACCGTACTAAGGAGATTAAAACCCCATTTGTCACACAAGACCCCCACACTTGAGCATTTCCTGAAGGGTTCTGCAATGGGCAGTAGCTCCGCCCAGGTTCCTCCCTCCTATATATGGAAGGATTAGCTAAATTATGGTTGAAATCTGGAGTTGTGAATATGTTATTTTAGATTATAAAAGTAAGAAAAGTGTATGTTGTTGAAGTATCATGGGCAAAACATTTTCTAGGTTAAAGGAAATTATCTATGAGTAAGACTGAATCAAAAAGTGGATCTAAGAAAGGATGATGATTAGTCAAGAGTTATGTCTTTTGATATGAAAGCATTGTTCATGGTGTGAAGACTTTCCTTTCAGTGATGTGTATTTGAGTTGTTCACAGTTCACTTACTTTGACTGACATTTCAGTGGATTCACTGTGCAGTATCCATTGGCTTAATTTTGTCTACTGATATCCTCATCTTCTAAAATACTGTACTATGCATGGAAATTTGGCATGCCAAATGGAGTGGAAGAGAATACAGTAGCTGGCTTCTAGAACAGGTGGTTTCTCCAGAACCTGGACTACTGTGACTGTGGGAAGTACTCGAGAACATAGCTACAGTGGAAAACAATCTAGCCATAGTTCAGTGAATTCAAATATTATTGACATTGCTGGAAGTACAGTAGAAGATTTGGGCTACTGTACACACTTACCTTTGGGTAAACCCAACCAAACTCAGCAGGCTATGCATGCCATTGACCTTAAGTATATAGCCTTCCCAAACCTGGTGGCCCCAGATGGGTTCACCTATAATGCTCATCATCTGCAACCAATAAGTATAATCAAAGGGCAGTTGACTACAACTCCTGTCTACAACTGGATTAGTTGGTTTCATATTAGACACTGATAGGATCACAACTCCACTGTGTGACCAAAGCAATTAAAACTAGTACTTATAAGGAGTTGTTTGATAGTGGTTGCCATCTTCAAATATTTGAAGAGTTGTTGCGTAACGGATAGAATGACTTTGTTGTTCTCGAGAGTAGGACTCAAACCAAGGGATTCAGATTCAAGAAAAGGGATGTAGATTAAGCAATTGCAAAAGATTATAGTGGCCTAAACCTTTTGTCAATGAAATAGGCTTCATGGGAATGTGGAAGTTTTGAAACAGAGACTGGGTTGGTTGGTCAGTTGGTTGATTTACTGTCCTAGCTTTCTCCTAATATAGGACCCAGAGCTGCTTAATATCAAGAATGCTGCAGCAGTGGATTTTCTGCATCAGCAAAAGATTTGGATTTGACGTGTTCTAAGTCTTTGAGATGCCTTCCATCTCTGTAATTTTAGGAGAAGCATTGCAAGGCTGGAACAAGACTTGAGATTAGAATGAGTGAAGTGCAGTGTAAACTGAGAATATTAAACTGATATAATCTTGTAATACTAGAATCTCAAATTCTTCATGTTACAGAAGAAAATTAAGCAATGATGTCCTAGATGTTTACATTCCTCTTCCTAGTAGATAGGCATCCTTCAGTCTCAAGAGACAATGGTAATGTGCTCTGAATAGAGGTCTTGGAACAGCATCTAGTGTGGCTGAGAAGGTCATTTCAATCCCTTCCACACTGAGGACAAATACAATCTGTCCCCTGTCCAGCTCCCTGCTTTTGCTGGTTTCGGGATTGCCTCTTTGCCTTGGCCTGCTGAACGAGTATCTCTTCAATGTGGGAGAGGCCATGCTGCACCGCCTGTTTCCAGGCTGAATGCTCAGATGTCAATGTTTCCCATCTGTTGAGGTCCATTCCTAAGGCCTTCAGATCCCACTTGCAGATGTCCTTATATCGCAGCTATGGTCTCCCTCTGGGGCGCTTTCCCTGCACTAATTCTCCATACAGGAGATCTTTTGGAATCCAACCATCAGCCATTCTCTTGACATGCACAAGCCAACGTAGATGCCACTGTTTCAATAATGTATACATGCTAAAAATTCCAGCTCGTTCTAGGACTATTCTATTTGGAACTTTGTCCTGCCAGGTGATACCAAAAATGCGTCGGAGACAATGCATATGGAACGTCTTCAGCTTCCTCTCCTGCCGTGCACAAAGGGTCCAGGACTCATTGCAGTACAGGAGTGTACTCAGGACCCAAGCTCTATAGACCTGGATCTTGGTATATGCCATCAGCTTCTTGTTAAGCCGTACTCTCCTAAAACATAAATATAAGCATGTGTATATAAGAGTACCTGTACATTGTCCCATGCTTCTTTCTAAATAAGTGAAAAATTGCAGTACTCTGTAAAATAGTAGTAGTTCAGCATTCTAACAAATGCAGAAGTAACTTACAGAACATCCTATGCTTATTCATAGTAAGACTCGTTCAGTTTAGTGGTACTCCTTCATAGATCAGATAGTGTACAACTCCAGCAGTACATTTATAAGTTAATATGAACATGATAATGGGTCTCCTCACTGGGAAAAAGGCAGCCCAGAGATGAAACAAACAAAATAATGTAAACCAGATAAGACCATATGTTCCCTCCCTTAACAGGACTAGCGATGCCATGGAAATTAGCCTTGGGAGATTGTGACCATGTGATAAACGCCTGCATTGCTCCCTGTTTGCAGAAGCCCTTTTTTCCAAGGTTATGAGTCCGATGTTTTCCTGATGCAATGTTACACTCATTATAAATCTCTGCTGTCATTTTAAATGAAGCCGAAGTAACAGTAGCTCCTCTTTTAAAGCTAGGATGAGTAGTTTTCCAACATGATCTATTTCCTCTATAATGTTGTCAGGTATTTAGAAAATCAACATTGCTTAACAGCGTTCCTCAGGGAAACAGCCATGCAAAGTGGTATGGGCAGGACATGGTTAAATGGATCTGAATTAGAAGAAAGAATTTATTACTGGACATTAGATCAGACTTAGAACAGATGATAAAAGCTCTTTGATAGTGGGACAGACTGTTGTAAAGGTGGCAGACTCTCTTTAATCAGATGTTGTTAAACGTAGTTTGGATAACCATTTGCCAAGGATTCTTTAGTGTGAATTTCTTGCACTTGCAGCGGAGTACCCTGGATGATCTTTGGGGTCCTTTCCAAAATTCTGAAGTGTTGTCGTTCTGTGGTAGATCACAGATATTTGTCCCCCTTGTGCTGTTGGACTGCAACCCCCATCAGTTTCCAATATTAACTGGGACTGATGGGGGTAACAATCTAGTAACAGCTGAAGGGACTCTCTCTCTCTCTAGGCAAGACAGTATGCCAATAAGTACAGTTTGAGACCTGGGGATAGCTAAATAAACAGTATTCTCAGAATTAAAGAGCCTTGCACACTTTTGAGAATCTTAGATTTTCGTTTTTGTGATGCTCTGAAAAGTTCAAGTCTTTGATTCTCAAGTGTCGAAATACATGTTTGGCATGTAGAAGCCCTGAGGCTCATTTTAATCTCTGGCATCTACATGAATCATATGACAGACGGTAGGAACTGCCTCTGCCCGAGCCTCTGACTCAGTATTAGAATTGGAAGGGGCCTATAACTGCTGGATAGCTCAGTATTTTAAGTATCTGGCTGTCAAGCCAGAGAGGAT